GGCTCTATAAGGTTTACGGTGGAGGCTGCTTTTTTGCACTTTTCTCTAAAAAATGAACTTTTTTACGGGTCTTTTGTTCGTTCCTTTTTGAAAGATTTGAAAGGATAATATCGATGTGCACAAGAAAAAGGGGGTTAACGGGGATAGTAGTTTTTGGCGAACGTTATGAATTTCTCTCTCAATTGCGTCTATCTCGAGGTTTTTAGTTAAAATCATGCACTCGGTTAAAGTCAACTTTGTTTGTCGTAAGGTGTTATTCCAGCGCTCGATAATGGGAAAAGCTTCAGGGCAGTCGATGGGTAAGTGTGTTTTCAGTGTAATGTCGAAAGCATTCAGAGACGGTGGTGGAGCCTTAAAGTTGAGTCGGGCTTCGAGTTTTGCTAGGTGAGCTTTCAATTCGTCACGTTTTTGGCGTTTTTCTCCTTTTCTATGTACTGTGGAATCTTTATTTATACATATTCAGATTCTACGTCGAATGGCATATAATTCAATGGATTTTGAAAGAAAACTTTACAGGTTTTTCTGAGTACGCCGACCGTTTTTGACAAGAGGCTCCCGAGTGTTTTCCATTATTTCCCCAAAAAGTTGACGACGGTTCATGGTAGTACTCTGGTTCTACTTCACGAAATCGTAGAGAGCCCCTCAAACGGACCATCCTCGGTTGCAAAAATTACTTTGCAAAACGGCCGATAACGTTTTGTCTATGTCTAAAGAATGAACTATTTTTGAAGTACGCTTTACTCAAACAAGTTCAAATTTTTATCATAGATAGTACTCATAGCAAGACAGCTCTGGTAAGAATTTAAGCTCATTAGCATTTGATTTGATGGAGTTATAGCGTAAGCAAAATTTTCGACTGAAAAATCGCTTTTTTTTCCGTATTTTACGACTTTCTTTGCAAGCGCTCTAGCGTCGAGGGAAAGCATTTTGGAAAAAAATGTCAAGAGGAAAAACTGGTCAGGAGCTATTTCTCCATCTGCTCTAATAATTTGAGAAAAAGCTGTGACAGGTCATTGAGCAACTTAGTTCGTCCCTATCGTGCATTGCCTCCTAAAGATCCAATCTCTGGAAAACACGACTATAAGTGCTTTTGAACTTTGTGAATCCCAATATTGCGAAGAATGCATACGAAAACCTATAAAAATAGTATTTAAAGGCTTTTGTCTCTTTTTTATGGCACATGTCCATGTGGCTAGTGAAATCGCTCACTGCGCGATCCATTCTCGGCTACTAATTATCGTTCGATTTTTCTTCTTTTGAACATTTTTTACTTTCCCCATATTTTCCCTCATCTGTGAGATAGATGCATGATAGATTTAAAAGTACAAAACGCTGCAACACTTCCATGGTGAAATCGTTTTCTTGTAGTTGTGAAAGTGATTGAACTATTTTCTTAGCCTCTCTCAACGTAAAAGAATTAAATGTACAGAAGAGATTTTCTAACAAACACTCACCAAGTCTTCTTCTATAATTTGAATATTATTTTGAATTTCAATAACTAATTTATCATTTGCATTCAATGTTTTCAAACATATAGCCATACCTTATTGACAATTAATTAGTGCTTGAGAGCTTTTTTTAATTTTGATAATACAGCGCCAATATTATTATATGTTCGACCAATTTCGAAATGATCTTTTGGTAAAACGTCTAATTCGATTTGCAATGCTTGTTGATAATATTTTAACGCTTCTTCATATTGACCACAATTTATTAGTGTAATGCCAATTTCTTTATTAAGCTTAGATATTTTTCGATGTTTTTTTGAATCATAACATTTATGACTTAGGTCAAGTGCTTGTTGAAATGATTTCAGTGCGGTGTCGCAATCATTCATTTCGAGTTTTATGCAACTAAATTCATAAAGTGTATCGGATAATGTTGAAAGATTAATTGGATTTAATGAATGTTCAATATCAAGAGCAATGCTAATTTGTTCCATTGCACGTTCGTAGTTCTTTTGATGTCTATAAGCTCTCGCCAAATTTTTATTTGCAACGGCTATAAGTGGATGTTGAGGAGGTAGTGATGATGTTTTAGTCAAAATATCCACTGATTTTTGATAATATTCAAATGCCAATGTATAATCATGCTGTTGTTCATATAATAAACCAAAATTATTACAAGTTGTAGCAAATTCTGGATGATTAACTGGTAGATATTTAGAGTCAAGTTCCCATACTAGATCCAAATATTCTTTTGCTTTGGCATAATTACCATCATCTAAATAGTATGTACCAATATTAGTATATGAAGACGAGAATGCTCGATGGTCTGATGATGCTAAACATTTTTTTCTAATTTCAAGTGCTATTTCAAAATTTTCCATAGCTTTAGATCTATTTCCAAGTTTATCGAATATAAAACCAAGATTGTTATAAATAACTGCAACAGTTGGATGATTATGAGGAAGTGCTCCTTGTTGGCAAAGATCTGATGCCAGTTGATAATATTTTAATGATTGATGAAAATTGCCCATCTCACTGTAAACAGATGCTATGTTATTATATGTATTAACCAAATGAGCATGTATTGATGGTAAAATTTTTGTTTGCATATCAAGTGCTTTTTCATAAGTTTTTAATGCTTCAGTATAGTTACCATTGTCTAAATGAGCTGAAGCTATATTCGTATATGCTATCGATAAAAAATGCTCTTTGTTTGAGTAGTGTATTAAATTTGTTGATGAATAAAAGTCAATCGCTTTATCAAACATTTTAAATGCATCTGTTAACATATTTTTTTTCGCATATAACGTACCAAGATTACTGTATATTACACCAATACCAGGATCGTCTGGTGGTAGTTGTTCAAGTAAAATTCGACTATATTTTTCTGCTTTCTCAGATTCACCCATTTCATATAAGATAGAGGCCAATATACCTAAAACAACAATCCTATACACAAATGTCAAGTGAATGTAAGACACTTTTCTCGAGACATCAATGTATTCGCTGCTTCTGTAGATAAGACAAAAGTTAAAAAAAGAACGGTTTTTGGAAAACTATTTCATTCGCTTCCACACATCTGACATTGTGCATAAATGGAAAATATTTTGGTTCAAAACCCTTTGCGTGCCGAATTACATTGGCGACATTTTTCAAAAAAAAACACACTCAACTTATATGGAAAGGACGAGGCTGCATTTGAGCGAAAATCGGTCCATTCGAATTTTTGCATTTCTCATGATCGAACTTATTAGAAAAGTCACATTTCTATTATTCTCTGTTATTCCTGAGCGAAAAAAGTTAAAAAAAGAGCGAAGAAATTTTTTTCCACCATCATCATCTTGCAGCCCCACCCAACTGGTAACTTCATTATTTCTCTAGATCAAAATAGTAGATAAGATTCATTCGACCACTACTAGATAGACGATGAAAACCTGAAGTGAAAAACATCCAAATCATACCTTCATTGCTATTTGTTAACAAATGACAGACCAAACTTTTATATGAGCACCTACTTAATGCAATACAGTTTCATAAAATTTTTAATTGTTTTGTTTACTTTAAAGTAAGACTGCATCTCAGTTTATATATATTTGGATAGCGCATGAAATTGTCTGCAAGATGGCTGATTGATTTTTACGATTTGTTTTCACCCCGATTTTTTTTTATGGATCAGTAGTCACTGATCAAGGGAAAATGTGACTTATTTTCTAGTTTTTGTCATTTCTTGGGCAGTAAGGAATCAAGTACATTTATGTCATATACCATTTTAGAGTTCACTGACTTTCCTGCAGAGTAAACTACGTATAATATCTTGATCAGTAGGCTTGATCTCTGTAGTATTAGGCGTGATATCAGTTTTGCTGGGAGTCCCTAGACTGGTTATTAATTGTCTCAAATAGCCTGTAAAGTAAATGGAAACGTAGGTTATCGCTCATACTGAATCTTGTGGCAATGTTTCTTTCCAGAAAAAAGTGGGTACACGTAGTGAAACTGAGTTTTGAGGAAAATCCACCAGTTCAGCTAGAACTATACCCAAGTAAAATACTCCAGCCTCCTTCAAAACCTGATCAAACCGGTTGGAACTTTTTGAGGGTTCCAACTGGTCTGTTTAGGTTTTGAAGGAGACTGGAGTATTTTACTTGGGTATAGTTCTAGCTGAACTGGTGGATTTTCCTCAAAACTCAGTTTCACTACGTGTACCCACTTTTTTCTGGAAAGNGCCACAAGATTCAGTATGAGCGATAACCTACGTTTCCATTTACTTTACAGGCTATTTGAGACAATTAATAACCAGTCTAGGGACTCCCAGCAAAACTGATATCACGCCTAATACTACAAAGGTCGAACCCAACATTCACTTGGTTTCAAGACGTTTGTTGAAAGTTTTGTTTTGAATCACCTTCGATGGAAAAATTCACTTTCTTGGTTACAGCACTCAGTACAATGATTATGGCCTGTTTGGTTGATGAAATTTATCAGTCAGATAGAGCATCTAAAATGGCATAGTATCTGACTCGTAAAATAAGTTGGGTATAAAATCATCAAGATATGTTCTTACCCGAGATAGTAAAAACGTCTTTATGAATATACGGTTAGACGTTGTCATACTCTTCTTTAATGTCCTGAGCACTAGCTGATGATCTTTGCCTTTCTATTCCGTTGATAAGGAGTTTTGGGCAAAATTATTGATACAACATTGATAACCGTCCGCTCTCTTTCCAGATTTGTCTGTAGTTTAACATTATCCAACTCTTTGTTTTAAGAAAAGACATGATACATCCTTGTAAGGCTACTTTGGCTATTTTTTCTCTAAGAAAGAGTGAGAGAGAGTGTCAGTGTTTTGGGGCTGAAAAGTTATACTTCAAGCGATTTTGAACAATTCGCCGTAGGAAATAAAAGTATACATTTGCCTCACTGAACGCAAGAAATCAAACGACATAGTTCTTCAAAAAAAGAAAGATAACATACCGTATGACGTTGTTTCTCCACTAAATTGATCTTTAAAATATTTGTATAAACCATCAAGTTCATCATTATCAATTTTATCAATTAATTTTAATTCAAATAACCAAACACGTACATCATTATTACAATGTTCTTCAACTGATATAAGTTTAAATATTGTATCGATACTAAATAGTATTTCATCTTCCGCTTGAAAGTAACTTAAATCTTTAATATTATAAAATGGCATTGTTGTAATTGTTGTATCAATATCAATCATATAAACAACCGATACTTTATTTTCATTTAATTGTGAACCTTCACCGGATAATGTGAACGCTAAACTACAATCTAGTGTTGTTGAAAAAAATGTATTCATTGAAATAAAACCATCAATATTTGTTTTTATGTTATTTAATTCATCAATACTTATAACTTGTCCTCGATAGACAGTCATTAATGGTTTTAATGTTGATACAGATTGTGAATGAAGTATGGACAATTGTTCATGTAAATCGGTTATAAAAAAACCGATATAATATATTATATAATCAATATGAGGTTCTTCAGATACTGCAAGATCAAAACACGTGTGAAGGAGAAGCAGAGAAAAATGTCCAGATGATCCGATATTTATTTTAAAGCGATTTTGATTAACGTGGGACTGTTTTTCATGAAAGTTCACCATTACTTCATACATTTTTCAGCTCTTTTATATAGTACATCTGCAGATGAGTCTCTGGCATTTTAAGCTGACAACAGATAAGTCTTAATCAAAGAACATGCTAAAATTATATGAGGTGGTTTAATACGACTAAAGACTAGAGACATAAACTATAATTTAGTTCAGTAAATGAATTTATGGTTTCACAAAAATGATCTTTTTCAGATTCAAGTAGTGCCGCATATTTTTTTAATTATGCTCTATTTAATGGCACAAAAAATTGTTACAAGCGTGGTTGGTCCTAAAAAAGATCATAAAATAAAATTGATCTGAAAAGCTCAGGAAGAGTTCAGTTTTTACAAAGCACACAAAGCAAGCAACACTTAAAATATAAATCAGACATATTCTGGATCTAGTCTCTCTAAACTGTGGATTAATAAAAAGAATTTCTCGTTCGAATCTCTGTTTTCGTTGTAAAAATACTATTTTCCGAACTAGTCGCTTTCTCAAACAAGTATCATAAGTATAGTGTGATAGTACCTTTTATCCGGTCTTAGAAACATTTTATGTTGTTAATGATATTTATAATTATATTAAATTTTTATGTTGTTCTTTTCGTTAGTGTTAAATATTAAACGCTCACGTGACGAGAGACTCAATCTAGGGCTCAGCTGTCGAGGCTTATCTGTTGTATCACCATTTTAAATTGGCCTGAAAGAAAGGGGACAAAAGTTGAAAGGAACGGAAAAAGACAAATAGATCGTTAATATTAAACTATGACATCTCATACTTCAGGTATAAGCATAAACATAGGCAAAAAGTTAAATGCGTTTTGTTGATCACAAATTCACGACAACAGTTTTAAAAACTTTTTGCAAAGTTTCTCAATAATCGTCATGAAATACAGAACAGGCTGTAAGCCGAGCTTCACATTTCATACATAGCCAACTGTCCATCGGCAGTTTTGAGTAGCGGACTAAAATGAGCCTTTTCGCTACGCACACGACAAAATAAAATGTGATTTGTTTATTTTTCTGAGTATTCACACTAAAAGAATTGTTTGATCAACTGAACGTAATGGGTGGATAAGATACCACGCTTGACTAAAGGGCAGGGTAAAGCGTTAAAATTACTAAAAAAATAAATTGATTGTACAATGTGATATTCGAATGGTTCCTATTTTGAGTTCTTAGTGCTTTATTAATCAGACGATAGACAAAACTATCACGTGTATACCATTTAATACTATCTGATGATTTATATGTTTGTTGAAATTCATTT